GTACTTGTAACCCCATGTATGATGAGGGGCGTTGAAATCACCTGCTATGACGAGTGGACATTCCCCGGCGATATTAACAGCTTTCTTTAGAACAGTCTTGAACCCTTGCTTTTGTTCCTTTGGACTGCTGTATATATTAAGAATGAAAATGCTCTGACGGTTGCTGGTACCCGGCACGATCTCTACCAAGACGTGTTCCAACCGGCCTGCTTCTATCTTGAGGTTGTGGGTTACGTGCGTTAGTTTGTTGCATACGAAGGTGCAGACTCCCCTCCCTTTAGTATCCCCTATTACAGGCCGGAATCCAGGCAACGTTGCTTGCGGTGAAAGGGTCTCTTGTAATAATATAATGTGAGGCTTTTCTTGGCTGCTCCTGATATACTGCTGCAGGGTTGCCTTCTTTTCAAGGTAACCTCTACAGTTCCATTGCCAGATACGAAATGCTTCACGTAGCGCTGCCATCATGGTTATTACATGGGCGGCCAGAGCTTGATGCTGCACCTGTCGACAGGTTTGGTACCACTAGTATTGGTGGCCGAAGGGGTGAGCTTGGTGCATGAGGAGGCCTTGCTGTGTTGTGCAGATATGCTTCGACCTTTGTAATGCGCAAAGTCATATGCTCTTCCAGTGCCGCCACGCTTGATTGTAGCCTACCCATCTGCTCGCTAAGATTGGCTACTACTTTGCTGAGCGTGTCAAAGACCTCTTTCATATCTGACATAGTCGTTTGGTTGGCTTCCACGTGTTCTGCCATGACTGCCCTCTTTTTCGTGGTTCTCGAGTCCCCCACGTTTTCAGCCACAGGGACATCAACTGGCTGAGGCATTGGCTGTGAAGATTGCGCGCTGGTTAGCTTAGTGAGAAGAATTTTTTATTTCCTTTAACTGAGCTGATAGCCTCTCATTCGATTTTGTAAGTCTCGCGTTTTCTTGCTCTAGCTGTGCAATTCTATCATGCTCTGGCAGCTTAACTATCATCACCTCTGCCGCGCCCTTGCGCACTCGCTCAGCCCACCTGCCTTTCGAAGTAACTGCAGGCGTCTTCCCCGGGTGTGAAGCCGTGATTTCGAACTGAACGCCAGGCAGCTGGCCATTCGGGTGCCGCCCAGGCTGATCCCGACCCTGATGGTGACCTTGAGAACTCGAGCGCCCCCGTGATTGGGAGCGGGCCTTTGGTCTAGAACCTCTTCTGGAACGCGACCTCCCCCTGGAGTGGTGCCGCCTTTCCTGTTCTTGTGTAGTCTGGATGCTCTGGGTCCCGTAGGCTGGAATAAGCTGCTTGTCGTTGATGTCTGGACTCGATGTGATTGATGCGTCCCGGGCTTCTGCGGCTGCTCGCGATCTTTCCCAACGTCTGCGTCTGACGACGTATGGCACTAAGAACCTGTTCTTGCACTCCTTGTCTGCCGTGGGATGGTGACCGTCGCAAAGCCTGCATCTTGGATTGCACTGGTGCAGGCTATCTGGGTTCTTGATCTCGCAGCCTCTGCAGATTGTTTCAGCTGGGTTCGGACAGACGTTAGACCGATGTCCCAGCTTTCCACAGACGTAACAAATATCGATGTTCTTGCGGTAGAGGGAGCACTGCAAAAGTGAAGGTCCATATCTCACGAATCTGGGCACCTTGTGTCTTTTGAACGCTATGATGATTGTCCCAGTGTCCTTGATTCTCTTGGCCTGCAGCGCGAGCGGGTTGTTCGCGTTCACAATTTTTCGGGTCAAAATGTCCTGAGTATCGCTTACGGGGATCCCGCGAATCACCCCTTTATAAGTTTCGTGGGGTGCCGTGGCGTACGCGCTAACCTCGAAAACTTTGCCTCCAATGTCAATTTGCTTGACCTTGAGGTATCTTGAAGCTCTGTCTTGGTCCGGAGTGCTTGCCACCATAATGTTCTGCTGGAAGTTGGAACAGATGATATCCTGCATGGCCTCTTCCTCTTTGACGCCGGCCGCCAGTACTATCGCGTCTGCCACGGCTCCAGTGCCAATTCTCGAGATATTTAATTCTCCACGTGGTCGTAGCACAATTTCGCTGAAGTCCTTAGGTAGTGGCGGAATGCGTCCAGCTCGCACGATTGTACGCTTGGTGTCATACCTACTACGTCGGGCTCGAGCGTCTCCCGCAACGCCGGCCTCGGTCGAACCCTTGGCAGCAGGAACGCTAACCGCGGCTTGCTTATTCCTTGAGCGTCTCGTTTCGGCTTCCTTCCAACCCATGTCTTCCGTGCAATCCTCTGGAGAGATGTCCTCTCCATCTACTTGGTATTTTATTCTCAGTTGCGGATCCTGGAACGCGCAGAGCGTTGAATCGCGTTGGCGCCCGGCCGGCGCATCGGCGACAATCGCCTCCTTGGTTAGGCTTAAATGCCCCGGTGGCGTTGCCGTGTAAAAATGTCCCAAAAAACGGTTTAAAAGTCCACTCACCAGCACAAAGGTGGTATCTGCTGATTTCTTGAGAACTTAGGCACACGATGGGACTAAAAACTCGGTGACAAATTCGTGAATACCACAGGAAAGCATTCTCGAAAGCAGGAGCCGATCTTCGCGCGTCCGCACTGGTCGGCCTTGAGAGAAACAAGTCTCCTGAGTGATAGCGGAGCTCTTTCTGAAGTTCACAGCGAATGAACGATCGCCACACCCACTTCACAAATTAGCGCGGCGTGGAACTTTTTTACTGCGGCAGGCAGTTGACAGCACCATGCGCATCACGATGAAAAAGCAGACGCCGGAAATGCCACTTGGCCAATCGGGTGCTTAGGTTTTGTCACGTGCCCCAAGCAGCCTGTAGAATTGCGCGGTGGTGTTTCTCGATGACGTATTTTTGTTGAAAAACCAATGAGCAAGACGAGCCACTGGTGGCGAGAAATGGAAGATGAAGAACGACCCTTCCAAACGTGACCAAGATGACCACGATAGCTTGTGTGTAACGGCAACGGTTCGGTGTGGAAAAAGCGCGACTTTAGCGTCTATTTGTGCTCAGATTTATCTCATCTCACAGGGGTGTTATAAATTGATTTTGTGCCAGAAATAATGACGCGAGAAGCTTGAAACTTCTTGGGTAAGTGCAAAAATAGTTGCAGATTCCGAAAATGTCAACTTCAAAAAGTCATTTTTTTTCGTGATTTTCGGTTTCTAAAAACCCGTGTCCCGTCCCCCCTTAATGAGTGGACCACTGCAAATTGTTCAGTTTTCAATGTCGAACTGAAGAAGGCTCTAATAAAGCCATTGTACGTACAGCTGACTGCAGAACAATATCGTTAGATGGAATAGACGCGCTCTCAAACCAAGCAGCTTTTAACGTCATGGCTCGCGAGTGTGCCAGTGTTGTCCATCCAACTCCCGGGCTGCTTCTAGGTTTTATGAAAATGCTCATTATATATTGAGCTCTTGACCAAGTGAACTGTAATTTCTCCAGCTTGTTTGTGAATGCCTAAGGATTAACCCACGTAGCACAGATTATGACTGAAGTTTGGTCTTATGGCCCCTTTAATCAACCGCACCTTGATCTGTATTTGTCTTAATTCATATTGAAAGTGTTAGAATCAGTCATTTTGGTTTTCAGAATAAATCAGATTAATGTCAATTAATTTAGTTTGCGATGATCTGGCTTAGCAAACTCGACTTAATCTGGATTAGCCTAATATGAATTAGAATTACTTCAATGATAAGGTGTTATTAATTTTATAATTTGACTCAAAATGCTTGGTTTAATTAGGATCAGGTATGCTTGGCTCAGTTAAGCTATATTAATCTTAGCTTAGACATACTCTAATTAACTTAATGAGGCTTGGCCTCATTTGACTCAGCTGTAGTGTAATTAAGCTTAATCATGTTTAACTCCTGCATTGCATGAACTAAAAGCTGCTAAAACGTCTAGAACGCCAATGTAATAAACAGCAGCGCTTTACTAATTGAGAAATAATGTAAATGTAGGACTCCATATGGCACCACCTGAGCCTAGTGATGTCAATATTCTTGAGTACAATTAATTGCTAGTATTCAATCTACTTATAATGAAAAATCACATCCTGTGCATTAAAAGAACTAATAAATTGCTCCTTGTGTGTTATTTATTATTATTTTTTTTTCAGTCATTAAAAAGATAGCTAGGTGTTACCTTGGCAAATGGTGCGGGTAGCCCAAATGTTCCATTTTCGCCGGTATGGGCTCCATATACATGGTCGCTTCTCAGTGTTGATTTTCACAAGTTTAGTAGCGTCTTTCTGCCTGTTTTCGTGAAGTCTTTCTCCGTGCCTCAAGCTCAATAGACTAGGGTACCTTCTGCACAACTCCTTGGAGGGCATGAACATTAGACCAACAGTTCGCGTGCGTCGCATTTCAGTGGCCCGGTGCACCAGCGGCATGGACAGAGGCTCACCGAATAGTGCCAGCACAAATGCAGATGTGCACATGGGTGCCCGTATTCCCACACTGACGCTGAATTGCGTCAGACGCAGACAAGTGTGCAATTGTCCCTGTCTGACTCTTCGCGCCATCAATTCTACTTTAGTCGTGTACCAAATAAACTAGCCCGACAGGAGACTCTCCTACACCATCTTTCTCGTACAATGGCCCCTTTCTTCTGTGTTACCTATCAATGCACAGCTATGTCCGATTGTCAAGTGTTTATGTGGAAAACATCACATTATAATGCAAGCAGCAGCGACCAGCAAAACAAAAGGAACGGGAAGTATGCTTGCATGCTTTTAGGGTGGAGGCGCAATGTCACCAGATAATGGAAGGTGCTGTCGTAATGCCCGTTGAATGCGGCATCGGGGATTGCTTACGTCGAGTCTTTGAAAGGCCGGTGGGTTGAGATGCAGTAACAGTATGCAGACCGCTAAAGCGTGATTTCATTCAAGCTAAGCATTTGTTTAGCTCAAAACAATCACTACGAGGTTTCTGGAATGGCATTTGAAAAATCTACGTCGAACTGTATTTTGCCTTTAGCGCTTTTGTGTTCATTACTTTTTGTGTAATGCAGTTTTTTTTCTTTTCCAGAAGAAGCGCCTTGGGAAGTCTAGAAGAAAAAAGAAATGAGTGCCTTTTTTTTATTGTTATTAAATGTGTATAATAAAGAGGGGCTGTCTACAGCTATCTTGTGTGCATTGAAACGAGGGACATTCTAGGGAAAGGAAAACATCACAGTGCAATTCACTTATAACAGTGCCGCATACACCAACATGGTACTATATTGGTTACTAACGATGACTAAACTGTTACGTGACCGCACCACAGAGTGTCAACAGCAATGGATCCATGGTTTTAAATGCCTTGTCACAAACAACACTCCACTTGTACAGACTGCCATGGCACCTGGCTCTGCACATTTCACATTTTGTTATTTTTGACGTCCTTTCGGGAAAGCTCCCGAGAACAGCAGTGCATGATGGGGCATACAGTTTTTCCTACATGGTGTTGTAAACACTGCTGTGCACCGCGGAAAAAGACGTTTTCATAAATGGATTCTGCACTTTTCGACACAGATATTCCTGATGTAAACAGTGTGCAGGAATTCGTAGATAACATTGGATCACCTGATTTCGATTCCAACAGTTGTGATTATTCTATGCAGCCCGGATTTAGTATTCTGCATCTTGCAACTTTGTAAAGTTTTGTAAGCTGTAGTTGTTTTTGGGTCTCAGCTCAAAATCTTGCCGAGTGAAGTTTTCACCAGAACACGCACCTGGTGTACGCCTCGACACAAAGTGCCGGACATACCCATGGTGTTTTTCACAGCTAACGCGTGTATGTCACTGAGTGCACCCACCAACAAGTATGCATCCGATGAAAGTTTTCGAGAAATTATGCTATCCTTAGCAGGATCGCTCTTAGGTGGAGGTCACGCTCCCAGCCCTCTGAGAGGTTGTGCATCATGGCACTGCTATTTTACGTGCACTCATTTGCAATTTCTGTTAGTGCATCGGATGAATCTGTAGTTTCGACTCTTGTAGACCAGTGGAGACAATGTGCAGAAAGCGTTTCTTCTCTCTAATTGCTTTTTTGCATGTCTCAAATTCTTAGGATGAATGTGCTGCTTCGAATGGCGAATTGCGGAAGGCATGAGTACTATTCAAGCACATCAATGAATCATCACTACAGTTTTTTAAATTAGCTCGTGCAGTCGATAAAGTGGTAGCAATATCTGAAGGACAGCTGTCAATTGGGCAATGCATTAATGACAAGATGACAAAGTGGGCTTAGAAATTGTGGATTTAAAGAGCCTCGAAAGAGCGAAATTATTTTTCTCGTATTGGTAAATAGCGCACTCGCAGTGCCAAAAACGCCACACTTGTGGCGAGAAGACGCTTGGCAAGGGAGGAAATGCACAAGATAAGCGGTGGCGATGCCAGCTTCAACTTTCCACAGCATTCGCCGTGACATCACATATTTTGATGGGGCCTACTCAGGCCTACAAAGTTTTTAATTAGTAGAAACCAAGTGAAGTGTGCTCTCAGGGGGTCATTGACTTAACATACCAAGTTTGAATGAATTCTGTGGGGCCAATGCTATTGTGCGGGGCCTAATTGTTATACATACACTTTGTAATCTGTGAAGCCATGCGTGGAGATTCCAGTGCAAAACTTAAAAATTAAACATTGAACTTAATTTTCTACTCTATTACTAAACTTGTGATGGTGTAATTAACGATACCTTTCAGAGTATGGTTTATTAATCTAAACTGACTCATTGTTTCTCTTAAGTGCCTTTAAACTTGTGAGTGGGTGCACTTTATTTACGAAGGCGAATACACAAGCACCAGGGCTGCTTATATTAGGTTTTGATCTAGTCCATAAACGTTTCTTTTTTTAATATTCAAAACAAGGGCTAAAAGCTTACGTGGCCAATTTTCGTTCCTCTAAACACCCTTTTGACGACATATTACTGTGCGAAATGCTGGCATGTGGTACTACAAGAGGCGATTGTCGAGTACTGCCTGGCTGGAGGGTTTAAACTGGATTCGCTACGAAATTGAGTCGTCGATAATTGTAGGAACCGCAAGAAACAAGAAAGTGGCAGGCTCAATGTGAGTTGAAAACACCGAAAGAGCCAATGGACTGCCTATTATATATGCGCCGGCTTCCCAGTGAGCCAAATGTGTAATCAATGAAAGAAGAGAACCTTTAGGGCTCATTTCTTTTTTTGACATCTTAATGAAAGCCAACAGACAATGAAGCCAAATAAAGTACCAGGGACATAAACTGTACAGCTTTAGGTGTATCATAATTGTGACATTGATGTGAACTAAGTAAAGTGGCCGGAAAGAAAACTTGCCACTGCCAGGGACCGAAGCCTCCAACCTTCGGATTATGCGCTCGACAGTGCCACACCAAGCTCGTGCCCTTTGCCTCCAGAAAATTTTTTTTACCAGGGCATGCAGAGCACGAATTGACACTTGACCGCATCTGCCTGCCCACTAGCAGCACTTGAAATCAAAAAGGGTCACCCCCCCCTCCCCCCATATAAAGAATGTCTGCCTACACCCTTGGTGTCCAATGCTGTAGTGTAGCTCTACTGGTAGATTGAGCTAAGGTACGTATTTCTCAACACAATAAATAAAAGTTCTGCTCTACCAAAAACACAAGATATTTCCCGCCATGCCTGAATTTCAGACAGTGCATAAAAATGTTCTACATTAATGGTAAGCTTGATGGAGCAATTAAGTGAAAGTTGTGTACGCATGAAACTCCTTGCAACTTATTTAGTGATTTTTTATACATAGATGTTTGTCAGATGTTTTCAAGAATAGACTGCTTACATAAAAATAATTTTATTAATCACTACACCAGTAGTTTACAGTGAACATAGTATTCACATTTCTGGTTGCTGGCTTATTCTGTTGTCCCTTTGATTCACTTAGCCATACTTCATAAAGCAAATAAACAATGCATAGGTGCATTATCAAAGTGCAGAACAAATAAGCTGTGCCATGACAGGTATGGTCCTGCTCTCAGCAGTGATGACATCTGAGCAGGAGTGTAGCCAGGGGGGAGGTTGGGGAAGTTAAACCTCCCCCCCCGCACACTCCCCTGAAAATTTTCGATTTTTGCTTGTGTACACATACATGCATGGCTACAAATGCATGCATGGACATACAAAAATGTATGTTAAACCCCCTCCCCTCCAAAAAAATTTCTGGCTATGGTTCTGCATCTGAGTATGGCTGACTAATGATTGTGAACCTGTTAAAAGCAGCCATGCATATGTTCTCGTTTGACCACTTTCACTACAGATTGGGTTGTGTTGGGCAAACAATCTATATATTGCATGCCTCTACCTAAGCTACTTGTACACCCAAAATTGTCATTTGGGTATAAACAATTTGGCTAGTTAACAGAGAGCTATGTTTCTATAAAACGAAACTAGCACGGCCTGTATAACATAAATAGGTGAGTGGAATCTGCATTTCATCTCACAACCCACTCAAATAAAGTAACTGAGCTTTCCACTGAATACAGTAGATGGAGTGGGCTCACACAATGCAAGGCAAGAAACAAGATGCAACATAAAGTAGTGCCAGCCGTCGCACCAGATTCAGATCGTAGTAATGTATATGTGTAGTGCATGAATGGTTATTGCATCAATGCATCTTTCATATTTCTGTTAGTCTGTACTTATAATGTGCAATGTTTGTACAATCAACATTAGTTCTTAAGAAATACTTTTAATCACCAAAAATTGTGTTCTTTTCTCGATTAGCACCTGGGCCAAGGTAGGCTAAGAGGCTGAGAAAACATTTATCGCCATTATTCACTTACGTAACAAAACAAGCAAGTGATGCTTTGAGGCTAATGCACTCTATGTTATTTTTAAACGTACAAGCTAGACCTCGTCTAGGATCACCTAGTCACTACACAAATACCTGAATGAAATGAAGATACTACCCGTGGGTGCTGTGAGAGTGAGCAGAGAAGTATGTGCTGAATATAAAATTGCTTCATGAAGAAAACATGAACAAGGGAAAAACTTGGTATTCTTTCACAAAACTACTTGAATTGCACATCGGGTACAATTTATCGTTTGTTCCAATATTGTTTTATAAAGGACATACTTTGTTGCAGAACTACATTTGAATAAAAGAACCTGGTAATTTTCACAGCCAACCACAATTAGTATCATGTCCAACCACAGTCTTAGTCGCCAAGAAAAATGAGTTGGTCCCACTTCACCAGTCAAACTAGCACAAGTGTCTACATGTGCTTCACTTAATTAGTAGGACTGCAATATAGAACATGTTATGAAGTCACATTACTCATGTGCTATTTACTTGTTTATATGCTTCTTCATTCATTACCTACATTTCATCTGAGGACATTGCAGAAGATTTCCAGCAACAACAACATTTGGGTTCACTAAGTGATACAAAGAGTGGTTTGAATTGCGGTGTTACAAACCCCAAAACATTGTTTGTCGAACATCATAGATGGTCTGAATGCTACTGATTACTTTGGAAAACAAATATGTATGTTGCATACTAGTGTTGACAAACACAAAATACACATGGATATCTTGCATATGGTAACGAATGCACATATAATACAGAAATATTCTGCCATGACATTATCCACAGACAAATCAGTGTAAACAAAATCTGGGTGACTTGTAGGTAGTACAACTTAAATGAGTAGCTTACTTCATTGATTTGTGGCATGAAAGTACAATATATTTGGCTAAGCCATGAGAAGTTGGGTTTGTTGGTTTAACAGCTGTACACATTTTTTTAGTTAACGACTATCATGCAATGATATATTCCTGAGAGTATGAAATTAATAGTCGTTTTTTAGTTGGTCTAAGATTTCGAAATGTGTCTCATAACAAAGAAAATACATGAAATATGTATTATGTAGGCAGTTCAGGCCACCTGTTGCGAGCATAGCTTAGCAGCTTAAGCACACTAGTCATACTCATTCAAAAGACATTAGTAAAGAGGTGTGAGTAATCATGAGCGTGAGTAGGCGTAAGCAATAATCAAATCAAGTTTATTTTCATCCTGTAATACACAAAGAACAACTGTGACGAAAAGCTGTCTTTCAAAGAACTGGACTATTTCACAGCCCCATACAAAAGAAAGAAAAATAAAAGTTGGAGTAGCTATA